ATCGGTCGCATCGTAATCGCAAAAGGACGATACCTGGATCGAAGTCCTTTACACAGGATGTTCGAGACGCGTGCATAACACGCATTATACGGTCGTATGTCGGCGAAACGAAATGTAACATTAGCCTAATTATAAAGCCTCCAAATTTAGAGACGTACATTTCATCGTAAATTAAAACGGTGAGTATTACACGGTATATTTTAATGACTAATAATGATTATTTACGAATATTTACATTTGATAATATTTTTGCACGCGTACCGTTTCGTTAAGTATATATAATTAATAAGTTTTATAACGTCACAATTTTCCACGCATATAATACCTGCACGAACGAAAGGGATCGCAGGGTGAATCGCATTTTTACTACAGAAACCCGCTCTCTGACCTACTTTCGCTCAATTTAATCTGTATTCTGATCGTACCCCATCAGTTTTTACATCTTATTTGAAGCAGAAGCTTTCAACCTTGGCTCGACTCGCTCTGTTATTCTCTGTTCGTCTATCGTTCTTATAAAATCAGAATGATCAATACAATCTCTTTCGCTGAATCTTTATTCTTATGCTTTAATCACCTTTTCTTTTTTCTTTTATGAGGAAAAATTTATGATCAAAAATAATCTTCAAAAAAATATATAGTTAATTGTCTGGAAAGAAACGTATTTAAGCACGGAATCAAAGTAAAATTAAAACGAGAACATTGGTCGCATCGTTAATTGGTTCGTTAACTTCTATCCCGTTAATTGTACCATCCTTTGAATGATAACGCGAGAATACTATTTACAATTTACGTTGTTATTCCATGAAAATTGAAGAATGAGACGAGAATAGTAACGATCTGTGGGTAACATTATGTTCGATAAAAAAATGTTTATAAAAAAATTGTATGTGAATATATCTGCACTCACAATCAGAAAAACATAATGATGGCCATCATAAAGATGACAACTTTTACAAGTTTAATATGTAGAATTAATGCAAGTATATTGTTGAATAAACTATTTTTTATAACAATAATTTATTCAATTGTATACATTAATTGTCTATATGAAACTTGTACAATTATCTCCTTTACGGTTATTACCATAATATCATTTTTTTATAGCGTGCGGTTGAATGCGGAGAGAGAGAGAGAGAGAAAGAGAGAGAGAGAGAGAGAGAGAGAGAGAGAGAGAGAGAAATCTGTTTGTAACAAAATGTCTATGGTCGAAGTTCATTCACAATGAGTATATTATTAATTGATTGCGTTAAAATTAGTATACTAATCGATAGTATACGCGACTAGGCAGCTACACGTTCCAAGATGCGTTTGGTACTTTTTAACGCGATGTTCTTAATTCTGATCACAAACATTTAACAGACTTTTTTAGATGAATCCATTTCAGATGAATCCATTTAGCCCATTTCGTTATTCGATATATTTATATTTTAAACAGAAACTACAAGAAGTACTTGGAGCGAATAGTAAAGCGAAAAACTATGTTAAAAATTTTTCGTACAAATGCAAAGGTTGAACGCCTCTGTTATTTGAATGTTATTTATACTTCCCTGAAAGAAATTGGTTAAAAAGTTACGATTTTTATAATTTGGTTTAGAGAGAGAGAGACAAAAAACAAAGTAAAAAAGATGATATTATATAATGCCTCCTCCAGTTTATACATATACTCTGCTTTATGTTAAAGCATTCTTAATCAAGTCCACTTACTTTCGATCGATATTATCGGAAGAAAAACGATCGAAAGCTTTAACACGTTTACGAATTGTAGCTGTGTATTGTCTCAGGCGAGCATTAATTCTTCTTGCACGCGAAATTCTGCACGACAGAGAAATTATCTTCACGACAGAGAATATTGAATGACCGGGACAAATAATCTTGATATCACTTCCGTCACTAAGCGAAGGGACTCAGTTACTGCCATAACTATTTTCGCCAGATTTGATTCGATGAAGCGGATTTGCGCGTCGTGTCAGCCGGCAGAAACACGTCGTCGTCGTCGTCGTCGTCGTCGTCGTCGTCGTCGTCGTCGTCGTCGTCGTCGTCGTCGTCGTCGTCGTCGTCGTCGTCGTCGTCGTCGTCGTCGTCGTCGTCGTCGTCGTCGTCGTCGTCGTCGTCGTCGTCGTCGTCGTCGTCATCGTCGCTGGATAAGTCGATATATACCTGCTTTCGTTCTTCGTATGTCGGTTTTTCACTCTGCACAACTTTTTACTTCTTCAAGTATTCTAAATAATAACGTAAATTTCCGCGAAATCGCAAATTCACATTTTCTTTACATTTGAACGGGCCACAACTTTACACCAAGCATTACACCGTCGTAAAACTATAGTCGTAGGATTTCCGCGAATTTTCTCCAACTTTGTCTTCAAACAACAGTCTTCAAACATGGTTGGTAGAGTTTGTTACGCGTCATGTTTCCGCAAGAACGTATCTACATAGAAATTAACAAAGCTTAACATAGAAATTAACTTAAGCTTGAGATCTCCAATTCAAGTAGTTTTGTAGAATAAAGTTATTTATTGATCAAAGTTTTCATAATTATTTATAGCAGAATAAGAAGAAATATATTTTTTTGGTTTATTTATGTTCTTGTGAGAGTTACATGATAAAAATCAGGAAAATAAATAGGCTGTTACGTTGTCGAGTAAATAAAAATAATCGGAAGATCTATGATTGCATATCTGGCAATTATTCACACCGAATCTATATTAAAACAATGTTGAATTTCTTGAAACGTTTCCAGGAGAAACGAAGATATTGCTTGGTCGTTCTAATTGAATTAAGTTATATGTGGCTTGGAAATTCAATTTCTGCGTTTAATTGGCGTGCAAAAAGAGAGAAGAGTGTTATTTGTGAGAATGACGAATTGGAGATCCTTGTTTTGATACGAGTGGAGGTCTCCAAGATAAGAAATCTCGTATCGATTGCTTCGTCTAACCGCAGTCAGGACATGACTTAAATCAATACCACGGCGCTTTAAGGGCGAAATCCTACGGAAAATATTCTCTCGTTTTGTGAAAACGTGCTCCAATCATTGTTACAAGCGTTCCTCACGTAATCTTCTTTCGACGATGAAAGTTTCACTCCGTTTCCTTTGCTATGGATATTTCCGTCGCTATGAATTTCCTTCATCAAATATTGCTTGGTTGAATCCATCATAAAATTATTATTATTTAAACAAACTTCCTACCGTGCGCAACATTTCCGTTAAAAACAATAATAATAGCTCGATGTCAATATTTTAATTTACATCTTGAAAGAATTGTATTGCTGGGATTATCCTTACTTTTATCGTTTGTTTTATGTTGTTTAAATATTACACAGGATTTATTTCTCTCTCATATTCTACAAATTAATTGGGATAAATCGAGTCACGCTTTAATTCCATTATATCCGTTTCATCCGTCGAGAGATAATTTTTTCGCGATCGATCCTGATTCTCGCCGATATGTTTCCGTCACATGGATTTCTTCTCTGCGGAAAATGTAACGATTCCATTCCGGAATCTCGCACGTGTCGGGAGTTGAGACCTCGATTATTTACGAAAGTGATACACTCGGAGGCCGACCTTTGGCGGCGCTTTTCTTTAGTGACCTCATTATCCGTTTCCCCTCGCCATTCTCTTCTATCTCACAAATTCCAACCCCACGGCTAGCATCCTCGTTAGCACGAGAAAGTTTTTCAGCTCACGAATTGCTCTTGCCGGCATCCTGTCTCCGGAGTCCTTCCGCCACTGGGGTAGCAAGACGTCTCTTTCATTCCTTCCATTGCGACATCATTTATTCATCACAGCTCGATGATATCTGGCGCGCGAAACTGCACTTTGCTGCAAAACTTCACCTCTTGCACGATCTTATTGCCGCAATTGTCCTCGTTTAGATCAACGTCGCTCTGCGTACCGTCGCCATCGTCGTCCTCCTCCTCCAGATCCTCCAGAACGTGTCTGTCTAAACTCCAGCCGCTAACTCCACTGCCAACTACAAACTTTTTTTTCTTCTTCTCACGGATTTTATTCTGGCGAACGGATCGCCGTGGTTATTTGTATCTGAAAGTCGAGCAAAACGGGCGCGCTTTGGAGCATGAGTATGCTCTTATCGATCGTGAGTTCGTTGTCTTATGTGTAAAGTTTATCCTGTCTCATTTTATTTCTTATAATATGCGGATCGTATGAAAGATTGTATGAAAAGATGCTCTCGAATATGTACCGATTCAGAAAATAATTTTCTATTAGCGATTATTAGATATCTCGATTTCAACAAGTTGAATGTTTGCCTTTTTTTGTATAAAATAAAAACGATGAAATAAACAACGATAAATTGCAATGCAGGTATTTTTGCAAGCTCAAATGTTTTTACACATCCATTGTAATCGCCGCGAATATTCTAATCACGTCGTTATTATATATTGAACACGCAACGCGAGCTGTGAGTGATATTCATATTTCGATAGAAACATGATCGGTGTGCGTTTATATGATCCTCACGTTACACGACCCTTGCTACTCAGCTCTCCAAATGTATCGAATGTTGTAACATACGTAGATTGAAACGCGGTGCCGCCAGGACAAAATATTTTTTATCGTCAAGTTTGGCGTCGTAAAATAGTTTGCATCGTCAGTTCTACGAGAATTAGGTCAACATCGCGTATTATTTTCATTATGAACAATATTCGTATATTACAAGAAAAAATTCGTACAGCATCGGTGTTTTCTCATATTTTAACTTTTAGAAAGATAAAATTAGTTCTTATTGGACTATATTGTCGCTTATTATATTTGTAATATATAAACAAAAATTTGAAAATTATTTACAAATACTTAATAATCAAAGATGTTAAGTTTTTGTATAAATAATTATTAAATATCTTTTTAAGTTTTTTATGCTTTAAAAATATATTTCGTTAGAAACATTCGATTTTTTTTATTATCTGCAAGTAACACGATCTTTTTATTGTTTGTTTGAAATTTGATTTGGACAAATTACTTTATGTTCCAAAAATCGACTTACCTTTCTGGTAAAGGGCATTCCAAAATTCTGCAGAAAGCCAGGCCGACTGCCACTATTAATATTAGAAATAAAACCACGTACACTACGAACAGATGAACTAAAGAAAAAATATAAAGCGTCTTATGACACCATCTATTGGGCGTGTACAACGAAAATTCGTATTCCGGCCACATTGCATGCAGTATCCAGTAATGTCCTAAAACAAAAAGGAGAACAACACAATATACAACAATGAACGTAGAAATTAATTATCCAACTTAAAGTCTAAGAGTGCCGTCTTATTTCATGTATCGCGTAATTAATTAGAGATATGCGTTACGCTAAACTCATTTTCATGAAGTGTCCCATGAAGTGTTACACATTCGCGTAATCAATGAATGGTGATCTTTGATATTTCTGTTAGGACAGTTTAAAAGAATGTAAAGATATAATTGATTATCGTGTACGCCAAACTTTTTGTATTTCATGAGATATATGGAAATAAAATTCCGTGTAACAGAAAACACCTCTAGTTGGTTACATGATACGCGTTAGGCGAAAAATCTGTGCCATGGGACAATACTCTAAACAATGAGGGAAAAATCAAGTAAAATATTATTAAGTGATCAAATTATTTAATTCATTATGTCGAGGGATTTTTTCAAAACATACGTAGAAGAATTTTCCTCGTATTTACTCGATTCATTTCGACTCGATCAGAATTTTGTTTTTGTATTAGACTCAAAAACTTTTGAAATAATAACGATCTATGTGACATATATATGTTAAGTAATTAAGCAGTCTACAATTTCATCCTGCACTCCGATCAACGAACTGTGACATGTTGCCGTACGAAATGTAAATATTGCATGACAGTGCCTCATCACGAACAATTAAATTGTCATAAATAATAAATTTTTTAATCCCAAAATTTTTTCTCGCATATAGATTTACATACACATATTTTCAACACTTCGTACTCTTTACTATTTTACGTAAATTCGTATTGGACACGTTTAAAAAAAAACTAGAATAAAAGAAAAATATAAAAAGTCTAATTAATCCATAAATCGATATATACGTAGCACAATATTTTATAATTTATATCGATAATTTATAAAAAATGATGACCCTTGTGCTTTAGTAGCGACATCATTAATGAACTCTTATATGTTAATGGTGCCGTACTACTAAAGCGCATTTTTGATACTTTTATATCAATTCATTTATGGTAAAAGATAAAATATGTTTTTAAAACAGTTTATATTGCAACGTACAAATATAAGCAAAGTTCTGCCACTTGACCGATAATTTCGTCAACGTAAAAATTCGCTTATAGCATGAGAAAGCACTGCGCAATTAAGATCAACATGTAAGAAAGTTAAACATAATATGTTGTAATTTGTGGAATGATATAATAATATCGTAACGGAATTGTTTCTGGAGCTTTGTACGCAACTTCATTCATTCAAAGTTCTCGAGTGTGCTTACATTCAGCTCTAGTACGCAGAAGGTTTCTGTTGGATTCGTGAATTATCTCAGAGAATATTATTTATAAAATATATAGAAAATAGTATTATATAATACAATTAAACTTATTGTTGAAATATAACGAAATATGAATAATTAAAATAATGAAATAAAAATAGAAAAAATAATATGAAAAGAAATAAGAAAACTAATTAAAAATAAATATAAAAACTATTTCATTACTTATAAAAAAATGTTAGAATAGTACGAAATTTAATCATTTTTTATTTATAATTTGATCTATCTTATACATAATGATGATCTTTTAATATTTAATCACGCGTTTCTAGTTATAGAATCATAGAGCCGAGTTATGAAACATGTGTTTTCCTAATCTGACTTATGCTTTGCATTCGTTCGGTAAATCCTCCGTGTTTAAACGCTCCGAAAGTTTGCGGTTGCCAGCGCGAAATATAACACGTCGCGTACAATTTCAGACAAAATTTCTTGCTCACCTAACACGAACCACGCGACCAGGAAGCACGATAAAACTATGGAGAGTAATTTCATAGGCGAGACGTGTGGTCTGTTGGCGGAATGGGATGAGACTTCCGGCCTCCGAGAGCGTATCTGTGAATACAGCGCCCAAAACATACGCACGGCGCCCAGAACTCCGCCGATCAGCATATACACGGGAATGTATGGCTCCTTAGGGCAATCCTTAATGAACTGCACACCTGTAAAGGTAAATTAAAATATTGATTTTCGACACGTTCGTTGTTTGTTGCACTAAAAATTTAGATTGAAAAAGCAAATGCAAACTATTCATATACTATTTTATTTATTCGTGTTTGATCTGAATTTGATATGGTTTCAAAAAAACCTATCGTGTGTATCGAAAATTAATACACAATGTATATTTTTTAGATTTTTTAAATATAAAATGTAAAATATTGTCTCTAGTTAAACATATAAGATATATATGGAAATTTCCATGTTACGTTGTGCGATGTGTAATAATTACGACATATAGTAATAAACTTGATAATTGATATTATATGACTTCTACCTTCTCGCTTTCTCGCTTGAACTTTATTAGTAGACATTTTATGACACCGTCTTCCTTTTGTTCTTTTTATATCCATGACCCAAATACTTCATAGTTTGAGTAATAAATAGAAATAATACATGATATACTAATTTATTTAGTATATTACAAGTTTTTTTTATTGTTCTTTTTCTTCAAATAGAAAAGGAGAAGAGGCACTCCTTAACCGATATTCTTGCTCATCAATTAAGATTTAACGTATATCTGACGTGCATCATTATTTTGCACTTTTTCCAACACCAGCGAGGAATAATTTAGCATTAATTGCTTGTTGCCTAGAGTCTATTTCATGTATCACGTCCTGGTTCGACGTTCGACTAGGATAACATGCATACCACGGAAGCTTCTCCGCTGCGCAACGTAACTTGAGTAATGTGTACCTCGTTATTATGCACATCTTTTGTATGTATTAATTTTCTGCTACAGCATAATCCTCGACAGTTTTTCGAAGAATTTATTTCGTGACATTCGTTGCGATGAAAAATCAATATCGTCGTCCTACATACTTTGATAGGTACAAAGAGAGACATTATGTTATTTTTGAAAAGTTAAAAACCCCAAGGAAATATTTTATGTTATTTTAACTTTGTATCTTTATTATCATTATTTTGTAATGAGCCGATCTCATGAGCTCCAATTAAATATTTAATATGTAACATGTATAAGGGAAGATCGATTTTGCTGAAGTATCTAAAAATTTAGCTATATATACATATATATATATATATAAACTGGTGATCAAAATTTAAAAATTTTTGCAACATTATCATCAAGTCTGAGCATCCTACATAATTATTTTGATAGTCCAACAAAATTATTTTCTGATCTCTTGAAAATATAATTTTATTAAATTATCAAAATAATTATGTAAAACGCTTAAACTGGTGATCAAAATTTAAAAATTTTTGCAACATTATCATCAAGTCTGAGCATCCTACATAATTATTTTGATAGTCCAACAAAATTATTTTCTGATCTCTACACTCCAGCAAAATGTTCTTCTCATGTACATAAATTTTCTCGAAATGCAATCAATTGGAAATTGTGATATGTCGATTATTTTCTTTCATCTTAACATACGATATGAAGAAATCTTTCGGACAGCGGCATTTTCAATATATCGGGATCTCAATATGCTTGACATTACTCGAATTAACCTTTAGATTTATGCGGTTCATTAAATTTGCACAGCGCAAGTCGCAATCGATGACTTCCATTCCATTTTTGGATCGTGATTTACGAAAGATTAAGTCGTATTTGGATTCACTGATTTGCGATCACTTTTGCGGTTTACGTACCTGCGCCATTATTATCGATTGCATGTTCTTGCCAGGTGGACTTCGTCAGAGGGTGAATGCACCGGACTTATATTAAATCAGGTTGTGCGTCTATGCTCCCTACTGCGCGAGTAACCTATACCCGAGAAATTAAATATGCTTGCATGCTGCAAGCTCAACACGCTAGCGATTCGCGTGTCGTAATCCCGGTAGCATTAATTAGCTCGGAAATGATGTCGTATATTTCGTAGAATCTCAACCGAATTGACCGGAAGGGGAAATGTGCTATAATTTGCGTGAATAGAAACTTAAGAGATTTATCGCGTTAAAATTTAGTTATATTAAAATTATATGTACCCAAATGTTGCAAAAAGAATTATACATGAATAAAATACCATCGAGAATTGAAAAATCTTATTTCGTAAAGTGTTAAAAGATTTATTGAAATAAGATTTTATTTACTTTGAACTACCGCAAATATCTTTCCACATTGGAACTGTGGATTGCAGCTGTGAACATTTATCAAATATTTGCATTTTGTTGGTCGAAACTTTACATGATAAAAGGGAGAGAAAACAATATACTATTTACGTCTTGAATTTATTTTAGACGATCCATCAATTTGCATCAGATTTTAAGATAGAATTCTATTTATAATTTTATATGTCGCGTATTTTAAAATACATTATATCTAATTTTAAAATGTTTTTTTTTTATTAAATAGCAAAATTATAAATAAAATTTTTTTCTATAAATTTTAAAGTATATACTTTATTACAAATTGTTTAAAATAGATTTTATTTTAAATTTTACACCGTCAGAAAGTGGAAACAAGATTCTTATTTATCTGAGCGACAAATTATTTTTAGTTTGTCCCGAAATCTAATTACACTACAAATTTAATTACATTTAATTTTCAAAATATGAGTATGTTATTCTAAATATTATTATACATTAAATATTTACAAAGATTGAGTATACCAAGAATAATATTTAATGACGAAATTACATCCACGAAATTATATAGGTGATATTACGTAATGTTACGAGAAATATGATTAATTGACATGACGAACTTTAGAAAGTATCAGCTAATAAATCTTTTCACTGAAGAGAAATTTCAAGAATTTATTTATCTCAAACAATCAGTACAAATTTCTGTTATTGACAGCTGCGCGGAATGTACTTCTGCTAGGGCACTGATAAAAAAATCTTATCTCTTACACTGATTGGTGTCTTTCTCATGAAATATTTTAGGAAATTATCTTTTATTATCGGACTCTGTATTTTTAACAAGTTGAACTTTGAGATTAGTAGAAGAGAGAAAAGCGATTAAATACAGAGCGTTAGAGACGGGTACTACATTAAAAATTTTCTTTGATATTTGCAAAATTATCCTTGTCGGACTATGCGTAAAACTATTCCCTTAAGAGAGGTTAAAGAGGCAATAAAAGAGCTTCAACTCTCCCGAGAGATATGTAATAGAGAAAAATTTACATCAGAAAAAGCTACAAGGTTTTGTGAAGTTTATTGCAACACAAAGAAAGTTAAAGAGAACATCTTGTTTAATCACTCATTTTGCATCATTCTTTTAAGCATATTCTTTTACACATAAATTATTCATATAATAATCGTTAAAAGCAATATTGAGAAAGTATAACGTATTGAGAACAAGCAAGGCAAAAAAGATATTAAATGATGATAGAGTGAAAAAAGTGGCGCTAGTAATACTTGAATTTTTAAAAGCGCCATAGATCAAAGAATAGTCAGAGGCTATATAGTTTTTTCTCTAACAATAAGTCTCACGAAACTCTGTCGTTATAGTTCTTAAGTATAGATATACTACCAGAGGTATCGATCGTCTTTTTATTTCGAAGTGTAAAACGGATCGAACTGAAACTTCGGTGAGGTCGTTTTCGACCCACTTATCCAGTTGCTAGTTATATAATATTCATTGTGCTATCTGAACACATTTTCTTGTGAAAAGTTAAATTATCCATTATATACGTGGCCGATTATCAGTCAAAGACCTCTTTCTCGATTCGCGCAACCGAGATTAATTAAAACCGTCCGTTATCCGTCTAACTGTATTTCCCTGTCTTTTCACTCACCGAAGATGAACATCAAAATAGGCACAGTGGACAAACAGGTCAGACATATAGTGAACGTCATCGTCTTGCTAATGACTCTCAAAGCGCGAAAGACGAAGTCGCAGATGCCGTTTGCCTCGAGATGAGCGTCTTTCAGCTGAAACACGACTGAGCCATAGGTTGCTACACCGAGATTCGCAGCCTCTGTGTCGCCCTTTTCGGGTGCCTTCACGCCACTGGCGCAAAGCCGGCGCGACTCATCGCCTGAAAGCTGAAAGCACACGCAATAGCTCAAATCAGATTTTCTCCCATGTCATGATATAATACAATTTGATACTGGCGAATTCATTCATCTCATTCGTTAATAGCACATATACGAGATTAGACTTTATTATGGAAAAAAATTCTCAAAACTGTGAAAGACACATTCCAATTTTTTTTTTTTTTTAACTTTTCTCTTTCTCTTTCTCTTTACATTTTTTATCTCTTATAATTTTATTTTAATAATATTAATTTAATTCTGTTTTATTTTATTTTCATTATCTTGTGCTAGTGTGCGTTGCCGTGTACCATGCTTTGTCTGTATTTCGCTGATTACAGAGTAATGCAATTAGTGAACAAGTGCAGTTTTTTTCATCTTTCAGTGAGAATCCGTATTAACGCAGTTCGTAATTCAGAAATAAGAATTAACGTGTATTCAAAGATTTTTGTATTTAAAAAATTCTTTTGAAAAAAACCATATTTTTTTTTTAATAATAAAAATTCTGTACTGTACGAAAGGTTTTTATACAGCAATTTAATCGCTGGCAAATGAAAGCCGATACTTTTTATATTCTACGAGAAACTCGACTTTACGGTACGCTTTAATTAATAGTTTTAGTACTTTTTATCTAACCGTGTCTCTTTGAAATGCCGCGCTGATTTGGCGTCAGAGTTCAATTTATATTCCGTTCATTTTCCACATAACGTAGATTCAATAAACGATCCTGCAAAGCACGAGCCAGCTTCGTTGAACGGTAGCAAATACATCTCTTCTTTCTCCATCGATTTTCGTTCTACGTTCTGCGGAATAAGATCCTTCGAGAGATCCTCGGGTAACGCGTACACGTCTCAGATACGTTTTTCGTGCGGATAAAAGCGCGGAAATAAGCTGTGGATGTGATATGTGCGAAAAAAATTTGAGCTGTCACGAGCACGAATCAGAAGTATATGCCGGCACACTCTTCTGAATTTTCTGTGTATCTTAATATTATAATTCTCACGGGAAGTGATAGTATGCGCTTATAATAACTGCTTTAATAGTTTGCAAAATATGTCAATTTTATCGTAGATATAAATTTTTTCTGCTCTTACTACCAAATCGTAAAGTTAAAATATATACTTATCGGTTATTTTGTATTTCACAAAAAAATCTCGAAAAAAGAAATTTCCTTAAAAAGTTTTTCTAAGAAAATCATAAAGGAAAACACAAAAGCTTTAAAACAATGTATATTTCTTTATTAATAACTTTTCTGCTTTGTTTGTTAAACATATTTTTAATTAGTTAAGCATGTATATATATATATAGAAAACTCTTTTGTATTTATTATAGTTTTCCATCAAAAGGCAATGGGCAAGTCATCAGGGTGAGGAGGATCTCCTCGTGAAGTTATCGTTTGTATCGTCATTCATTCGACCTCGCCTTGCGTGCGTTGCAGCAACATATCGTGCCAAGTTGTGTCTGCATCGGAAAACGAATCAGGGTGCAATTTTATAGATCGTTTTAAGCTTCTTTTTTAGAAGAAATATTCCTCTTCCATTGATAGGATAATGTAATATTCGGAGGAAATATATATTTTCTATAGTTAGTGTAATTTAACAAAAAGATAAATGACTAATCCTAGAAATGAGGCATTATCGTCGTAATCACATTATATATGTGATTAATGCAACACTTTTTCCGGTTAAGTAAGATAGACTATTTTCGGAGTTAGTGGTTGCCTTTTTTCACTCTCATTCCATGAATGGGTTCCCGGCTCATTTCCCGCTTTTATAATCGAACTTAAGCAAATTTTGCTATTAAAAATAAAATTGTGTAAAAAGTCGGCGAAGCCGACGTGACGTCCCCGAAGCAATAACGAGGAAAATTACTTTGAAGATTTTACAGGGATAAGCGACAAGAAAAAAAAACAAGAAATAACGCTTTTACAAAGCTGCCTCAACCGATTTTTGACTCAACAAAAATTTATTCGACAAGGAGCAACATTTTTAAAACGAAATTTTCGAACGAAAATTTGAATTTACATTTGAATCGATTTTTTATTTTATATTTACACATATGAATCTGTTCGTCATGCTTGTAATTTAAAAAAAGTCCACTACTGTCTTCCAGTAATTTCTTTATCGCACTTAAGAAAAAAACATTAATAAAATTAAGCTTATTAACAATTTACTTTATATTGAGAAAAAATATATGAATACTTATATAGGTATATGTGGATATATATTTAATTTATGAATTTAATTATTTTTTTAATAATATAAAATCTTAAGAAATATTTAGATTTTACGAAAAATATAAAACTTTGAAATCTTATTTTATCGCATAATAAAATTTGTAAAATTTTATGATATTCTAAAAGACTCTAAGCGAAAAGGATCAATGAACAATAAGTACGTCAAACTAAAATAAAATATCTCTCGATATCTGAAATAATATTGCAATAGGAGAAAAATAATTTGCGTAAAAATATGTTGTGTCAAACTAATCTGCGTTCGCAAAAAGTTTCACTTTTTGTTCCTCTTTTCACAACTCGTGGTTTATGAAAGTTGCCTTGTTAGCGTACTTCCGACGAATAAAAAGAATATCCTTATGCTCTCTACCTGCAACTGCTTCACTTCGTCGTAATTACCGCAACGGATGATAAATGACAAATTGCAACTTCGAGTATGTATTACTCGCGTTGCCCGAGTTGCTCGCGTTACTCGAGCTACCTGCGTATATAACCGTTGAATCATAAAGATGGAGAACATCCCAGTCGTCCATTTCCGTCGTTCGAGTGAGAAATTCCGGAACACTCATAACACAATTGGGGCGTGCACCGTAATAGCGTGGCCGAGAAAGAAATTTCTTCAACGTTGCAGACCGGAATTGCAACGGGCACGATAAGAGAGGAAGAAAAAGAGAAAGAGAGAGAGAGAGAGAGAGAGAGAGAGAGAAGGGAGAAAGAGAGATAGAAAAGGCACAGTTACCTGTGAAACGGAGCTACTAGCTCGCCTGGAATCGGCCCAGGCGTTCGTTCCGTATCCTAGATTGACCTGTGCGCCACCACTTCCGCCCGATCTGACGCTTCCCGAGCTCACTTCTCTTTGGCGATAAGGCGAGGAACTTCGGTTTCTCGTGCTCCCTGGACATAAGTGCAAATATTTGAATTTATCCGACTGCCTTTCAAAATTCTTGTGCGAGAAACATCTCGCAAAATTCTTATATGATATTCCATGAATATTTATGAAGACACGACGAAGACGATTCGCGCTGGCGAAAGAATTGCAAAATAGTATATGGTAGTATACTTCGAACTACTGATATATTTTATAAAAGATATTTCTACTATTTGCATCGATTTGTAGTTTCTTTTCTGCCATCGTGGGATGTATTCTTAAATGCTACATGAATTATAATTTGTGTGCAATTATTAGATTGTCAAAATTTTTTGTGTTGTATTCAATTTATTTTTACGTTTGAACTTTTTGTGATTATATTATTCTGATTTGTTTTTGACTCTCCTCGTTTTAACACATGTGCAACTAATGAATACTAGCTATACAATTGCAAATTTTACTTGTATGCGTATTTTCTGAATAGACAAAATTTTTTGTGTTGTATTCAATTTATTTTTACGTTTGAACTTTTTGTGATTATATTATTCTGATTTGTTTTTGACTCTCCTCGTTTTAACACATGTGCAACTAATGAATACTAGCTATACAATTGCAAACAATGACAAACGACGCGCCAATTAACAATGTTAGTGCACAATTTAGTTTATATTCTCCTTTTGCACGAATTTCGCTTGTTGTAAAGAGATATCATCCAAATTTAGGCGATGAGATATCTTTGTCAACAAGCTTTCATTTAATGCACGCTGCTTTACGTGATAAATCCACACTTTCAATTTACAGAATACGAATCCCATCTGCTGGAGAGATTTCGATTATTGCGACATTCCGTCACAAAATTTATCGACTTCGCTCGCCTAATGGCAGTAGCTCAGTAAACAAGTCTTGTCGTATCGATTTTGACAATCATATGGAAGGCAAACGAATTTAAACGATAAAACCCATAAAAAATGATTTAATACGTACATTACCGCTCATGAGGAAGGTCGGACATTCGCATAAATTTTATCGAATGATCATGTAAAAAGTTAAGATTTTATAAAACAGCAATTGTATTGTTTTTTAAATATATTTTAGATCACTTGTACACATACTAACAATTGAAAAAGCTTTATAAATTAGTTTTAATTTTGTATGTCAAAAAGTATTGTCTTTACTTCGTAGAACATTGATAATATAATCAATAAATTTAAAAAATTTGCTCAGAGAACACATATGTGGGCTCATGCTATGGTGTATGTTGCCAGCCTATCTCCATAGGTTGAGGAGACTAGCAAAACAGACTTTATAAATTATTTGTAATTTTATATATTAAAAGAATTTTTGAAATTTACCAATTATACTATCAATGTATAACGAAATAAAGGTAAAACGTTTTGGCATATAAAATTAAAAATAATTTATGAACTTTTGCAATTGTTAATATGTGTACAAGTGATTTAATATACATATATTAAAAAATAATACAATTACTGTTTTATAATGTCTTAATTTTTTACATAATCATTCGATAAAATTTATGCGGATGTCCGAACTTTCATGAGCGGTAGTATATTTGCATAATACATTACTATAATATTTATGAAAATAGAACAATTATAAAATTATATTATGAATTATTTATTGTTATATTTGCATTTTTACTGTTTCAGAATATTCAAGGAGAAATTCGTGCTTCGACTGGTTGATCTCGCCTGAGAGCGCGCACGCAATCTCTCTTGCATCGCAATCGCGCGAAGTGGGTAAGTAGGCATTATGTATCAGACGCATATTTCAATCTCGTGACCGGTTTAATGTAGCTGCTAACGTTAATAAATATCGTGTACACGTGTAACAAAATCAGGCCAATTTGCGCGACCGAAACATAACCTTTTCTCGCGTTAATTATCGCAGGGATAAATTCCTCGTATTTACTTCACGTTTCGATTTCTTGTGGTTGCAGCCCCAAGAATCACGTCGATAAAAAAGCGGTCTTAGCATGCGGAGTTAAGTTGTTAAGTTTCTCGTGGATTTTATCTCATTGATGGAATATATTAGCGGCGAATTATCACCGCTAGATACATACATACATACATACATATCAGCATGCGCATACATCTAAGATTGTGGTAAACTAATTTGCATAGGTCGACTTAAGAGGTGTAATACTACTATATCAACATTGTATGTGGATTTTCTAACCGCTAATAGTAATTTGGTTCACGATATGTTCAAGTTTAATAATTTGCACAGATTCGCCAAAAATGTGATCCGTGATTTATTGCAATCGATATAATCGTTACGATAGAAGCTGAATTTTTATGAGGAAGAAATTGATAATTTATATGTTAAATTAAATATAAATATTAGTACAAAATCGTACCAACAGAAATTATTTTTATATTATTTAGTACACGAAAGGGACAGTTTTATTGAAGTATCTAAATACAGATCTAAAAATAATTTTGAGTCATCAAAATAATTATGTAAGATGCTCAAACTGATTGATGGAATGTCAAAACTTTTTGCAACATTACTCGTTATGTTTGAGATTCTACATTGTAAAAAATAAAATGTTATAATTTTAACTCAAAGACGTATGGATTTTCTGAGACATGCAAAAATGTTAAAATTAACAGAACGTTCACTATAAAAGTTCTCAGAAAGTTCTCAGAAAGTTCACTATACGTTTTTAATTCAAAATTAACATTTTATTTTTTACAATGTATAATGTAATTATTTTGATCCAAAATATTATTTTTACATAGCTAAATTTACTTCAATAAAATCGTTTTTTCTATATATTTTCTTCTTTTGCTGCACTTTAATTTTGAATGTCGTATTATACTTGTGATGCAATAATACTATTGAGAGATTGATGTGAAGTTCGAAAGTACTTTGCATTCGTCTGACCTGATTAAATCGTAATAAATTAACTGTGCGAGAATACAAGGAAAATAGGAACCTATCAATTGTCGTTTCTTAATGAAAGCTTTGCGCTGGAATTGACATCGTATCGACTTGTCGGCTTGTCGATATTATTTTACATTTCTTGGCAGATCCGTTCCTTCCGTGTGTCACGCTTACGTTATTCTGAGGCGCGAGAGTCTATTGCATCCGTCGCAGGATTTCAGTGAGAAGTATCGGGTGTGTAATATCGTGTGCAATCGAAACGCGCGAGAATGTATCACCCGGCGACCAATTTCCGTCATTCGAGATATATTATACGTGTCTATCGCACTCGATGCCTTGAACACGGGAGAAATGAACGAAAACTAATCGGCCTCTCTGGAGATCCGACGTCGAGTTGTACAGTAATGAGCGTCAAATTGCCATTACATTCCCTAAGGAGAGAAGATGCTTGCTGCTTCGAGATAGTCTCAACTTGTAAATGCGGGGACGTAAGGAAACGTTTGCATAGAATCTTGTTGGTGAATATTTTATGGGCTGTCTTTATATAAAACAGCTTTCCTTATAATTGTTCAAGCAGAAACTAAATAAAAGCATCGACTATTTTTAATTTTTATTTTGATATAAAAGCAACGATTATTTTTAATGTTTATTTTGGTATGCGACACATGATAAAAATACTCGATCTCCGAGTATAAGGTTATTATTATTTTTATCAAATGTCACGTTTTTATCAAAACTCGCTTTTCCAACGGTTTCTTGTTAGTATAATTGTAATTTCTCGAGTCAATAACTGAACGAGCAATTGTTTCATTCTGTCATGTATAATTGACATGTCATGCATGCAAGCATATTATTGGCATGATTTAACCGCATTTGAGGTAAATGCAAACGTTCCTTTGCACATTGCATTGCGTTTCACCATGACGCTATAATTTCGCAGATTACATCCGTATTTCGATGCACACTGTGGTTTAAATACGTCCAAGGACATTTTCGCGATGGTTCCGTATACGCATCAGTCGCAATTCGCGGAAACAAGTTTCCAACAATTCTAGTATCGTAGTACTCAATTATTTTTAGTAGAAAAAGTAATATACAATACAACTCGAAGCTTAATAACTAGTTTTTAATAGCAATCTTAACGGTAATTGTTGCTAGATGTTAAAATAAAAAAATACCAAAATATAATATATTTCATCCTATATGATCCTTCCAAGATAGTTTTTTATTTCGATGATCCAGTAAAAAAATTCAAAAATCTTAAATTCTTACCCTGATCTGCGGAAGCTCTTCTAGGATCTTGCAAGCCCAAGTTGCCTCTCGGTGCCCTTCTATCTTGATGTCCTCCGAGACTGCCTCTAGGACTTCTGTTGATTCCCTCAGGCCCGATGCTTCCTCTGGGACTTCTGTTTTCATCGTCGTTAATAGCTCCGAGAGAACCTTTTGAATGTCTTTCAACATCGTTCATGCCTATGCTTCCGCGTGGCGATCGATTTGTCTGATCATGTGGCACGATCGATCCTCTTGGGCTTCTATTGCTGCTCTCCGGACATATCGATCCACGTGGAGACCGATTCGCGTCCGGCACTATCGATCCTCTAGGAGATCTGTTGGGATCAGGTGCGATGGAGCCGCGAGGACTCTGATTCAGACACTCCGAAACTATCGAACCGCGTGGACTTCTATCTGGAACCTCCATAGGTGTGATATTGCCCCTATTGGATGCTCTGTGCAATTCCGGACATATCGAGCCACGTGGACTTCGGTCGAAATCCAAATTTGCCATGCTGCCTCGCGGACTTCTCGTCGTATCCGGTACTAACGAATGTCTAGGACTACGACTGGCGGCCACGATCGCGTTACCATTTTCCGGTAAGAGGGATATTCTAGAGCCGCCAATCGCCACCATACTATTCCGTGGACTCCGATTATAGGCCACATCCGGTACCAGAGAATTTCTCGGGCTAAGTGCCGAGTCCGGCACCAGAGAGTGTCGCGGACTAAGAGAGACTTCTGGCGTCAAGCTGTTTCGCGGTGACCGCACCATATCGGGTACTAAACTATTACGTGGGCTCCTGCTCGAGTCCGGTATTAGAGAGCCTCGCGGGCTTCTGCAGTAATCGTCAGGTATCAGAGAGTTTCGCGGGCTGCGGCTCGCCTCGGGCGCCAGAGAGTTGCGGCCGGTACCATACTGTTCGGGATCCGGCAGGATCCTACGACAGACTCCCTGAAATAAAACATCATAAAGCATTATCTATTTAATTTTTTAACAGAAGGAATAATTGTTAGAGCAAGAATTAATTTTTAATCGTGGTATGAGGTTTTTGTAAAAGAGACTTTCTTTTTCCTTTCACGTAAAAGATGTTCATCAAGAATGATAATAAGCTCGTAATTTCAGGAATTAGGTCATTATTTTTCTCTTTACAAATGTTTAATTTCTAATTATTTAAGTTAATTGATTTTTCTGATTCTACTTGGAAATTTTTGAACGTTGGAGATATGTATGTTAATATTATACGCATCCGTATCTCTGCAATATATCTAATTGTGTTTAATTAGCATAGGAATTAACGCGGGAATAAATTTACATTTGCACACATATGGAAGTAAGCGCTACACGCTCGCGAAACATGTTAAAATACTCGATCGAAGTAAACGTATTTTAATCATTTTAGCATTGCTGTCCAAAGCCAACCGATAACTTCCGAAACGCATGCCTATGCTGCGCCAATCATCTACTAATGAATAACATGTGATAGCAATCCATCTGCCCTGAACATTTCATGGCTTCAAAATTTCGTGGATAAACTGATGTGTAACATGCGTGACAAAAAATGCGTTTTCGGTTTCATCGATGAATATACGCGGTGCTCATATCGATCGAGTACAAATGTCAAACGCCTGTACACTCGAGTATCCCTCGAGTAATTGAATATTTCGTATAACATTGCGTAGCCTGAAGGGAATAAAAAAAACAGAAAAAGAGGACGAAAATCTGCTGTATATTTCAAGCTTGAAGCTCGGTTGACTGAGAATTTCAATTATTTGGAATTATTTTTTACGCTTTATAACTCTATGCGATCGCCAGTAAAATTGATCATCAAATCAAATTACTTAAATCGTTATTCGGTTTTAAAAATATTAAATTAAATCTTTATACATCTTCCCGAAATGAATGAGTTTTTAATATTTATAAGTTTGATCTCATAACAAATTGAAATAATTGTTGTATAGGCAAGAAATTTATATTTTATGTCACTATATATTAAAAATAATTAAATAACGATTTGAATATACATAAAAAAATTATACTAAAAATATAAGAGGTTGAATACTAACTTCGTCGGGAGAGTCGCTCTCGGTATTCAGAGCGATATTCGGCACTATGCTACCCCTCGGCGACCGCTGCCTTTCCATCGTTCCGCCGGGGCTACTTGGTGGTAAGATGAGGGGTTTCTCAGTCGCTACGCTCGCTCGTCGACCTCGCATCGTCGAAGATGCCGGCTGATTTGAATTTACCACGTTTGGCGACGCTCGCCGGCGTCGCGACGAAGCGCTTCGATGTAACATCACGGCGATGTTCTCTCATCCTTTTGATACAAAGCATTTCTCATCATTCGCTGAATATTTCGTTAAAAGCATTTGCAAAAATTATATTAGTCTACAAAATTTTGCTGTTTTTATGTTAAATTGATCTAACAATGTTTTCTTCATAATATTTTTTACTTTGATTTTAAATTTGTTTGCTAAATTTAGGAGAAGAGTATAGAGATTTTTTAAATAATATGTATTAGGTGTTGGAATTAATTCGTAGCGTTTTACAAGTGATGGGAAGTACTTTCATTAATGTATTTTTTAATGCTCATGTGAAATAAATAACATTCTTTCATTAAAAAACGCTACGAATTAATTCCAACACCTAATATTTAAAAATTATCTCATCTGCTCTTAGGTACAAGTAAATGATGTACAGGGAATTACTCTAATGAATTCAACAGATTTTCTATTCATTATAAAGACTTAAGACAGAATTAATTAAACTAAATTATTTTAATTAAGAAAAACTAGCTGTTGTTAACAAAATGTATAAGTTTTTAAAAAGAGATATGTTACAAAAAATTGGAGCTTACAGGACAAATTTTAACCTTATTTTCAGAATTAATGTAAAAAAATGCAATAAAAGAATTAGCGAAAATTATTAATTTAACAAACTCATTAATGACCAGTATTACTATAGAATCAGTATTAATTTTTAATTTATATTAATATCAAATCACATTGAAAAGTTTATTAAATTTTAGTACATATTTCTTTGAATAATATTAAGTCAACATAGATTTACAGTAAATAAATATCTATTTAGTAAAAAAAATAGTTAAATCAAATTAATAATTTTCATATCAAATATATATTTAGTAAATATTTACTTAGAAATATTAATAAATATTCAATAATAAAGATTTATAAAAATTTTGTATTTTTATGTTATTTATTAAATTGTGTATTTTTATGCTATTTTTCAAAATTTTGTATTTTTTTCAGCGTTTCTAAAATACGGAAAATGTAACTTAATGTTGAAGTAACAATGAAGTAAACTATGGTAACTTGAAAAATATGTAGTAACTTGTGAATTTTCAATGTAAATTTGTGAGAGAAATATCTCGTTAAAAAATTAAAAGCACATCTTTTGCAGCGATGATAAAATAATGTTTTGCTTTGAAGATCATATATCTTTAACATATAATCGCAAAAATGTTACCTCCATCTTTCAGAGGCTAATATTGTGTCTGTTAGAAGTTGAAGAAGGAACAAAACTCTTTAAATTTCCTCCGCGTTTTTTTCTCGCATGGTACATTAAAAGGATAAGCACATTGCAATAGAATTACTAATTTTAAATGCTTAAAATTACATTTTTCTCTCGAAAATGTTCAAAAAGTTATAGCAAATCGCTGATTTACTTATATGAAAGAGATATATATTATACTAATCGTATTCATAATATAGAAAATGTATATATATTTATTCATTACCGCCCAAAAGTTTCAGCATATTTTATGTGTTCGCTAACAATTTTATATTTCATTTATAAAATATTATGAAAATAAATAGATAAATTAGTCTTAAGGATGATATTCATAATCCGTTCTTATTTCAAGACTGTCTTAAGTAATGTCTTAAGGCGATAATACGGCTCTCTAATTGGTTCGTGACTTCTCAAAACTGTACTTAAGACAGTCTTAAATATAAGATCCGTCTATGAATATCGGCCACAGTTTATTTAAAGATGGATCAGTAGACATGGTCCATATTCTTTTATTTTTGATCATGAATATGTTCAATTGAATCGCGAATTGCCGAAAAATAATCGGAAATTATGAATTTCTCAAATTGACAAATATGTATATCAGTTGAGAGAAATATTAATTTCAAATTTTGCGCTAGATACCGATAAACATTTGAATATCGTGACAACTAACAATACAAGAATGGAAATAATTTCTCTCTCTCTCACACACAGACACACACACCACGCGCGCGCGCAATCTATTGCCTTCCGAAGAACAATATATATTTTTACAGAAATTAAACATCAGATTAAACACAAATCTTTGATTATAACACTTGAAGAACAACTTATCGACAGAATGCCAAGAGTTTAGCTTCTATTATCGAAACCCAAAGAGATTAAGCTTGAAGAAATAAAAAAATCTGAAAATTTTTTTTATTTGTAATGAATATTATGTAATAATAAATTTAAAAACATAGTGCAAATTATAATCATATTTTATTTTTTATATTACGAAATTTCTATAAATACTGAAACTTTTAAGTGATTGTGTATAATAATTTTAATACATATATCTAGGGTGTTTCAGAAATAGTTAGCCAAACTTTAAGAATATATTCCATTCATTGTAAGGATAAAAAGAGCCATGTAAACATGGTTTCATATAAACATGGGGAAACGCTTTTTTTCTAAGTTATAAATATTTTTTTATTTTATACTTATTTGTTATATTATTTTATACTAATGTGTTTATATTGTTAAACTATTAAATATAGTATTTTTGAATACATAAAAATATTGACATTTAATACATAAAAATATTATTTCAAGCAAAATGGATTTGTGACTTGAACTACAGTTGTAATTATAAACACTGTCTCTTCAATGCACGTATTGCACATATGCATTCCGCGATAGACAATTAAATGCCCAACGGATTTCGAGTATATTCATTATATATCTACACAACATGAACAGTTTCTACTAGGAAGATGACCCAGATAAATACAGTTCGAGGTTCGGTGCGTTATATACTGGTCCACCTAATTCCCCGACCCATAACTGCGACGTGCATTTTGATGCGCCGATGGGAGCATGTCTCTCATCGCACGTAACCTCTTCTATATAGGCTGTGCATATATTATCGATTCGCGTAGGTTTAAAACGGTTCTGACAGCAAATTAATTTACGACCGGGTATTGTACGTCGCGAAAGTAAGCAATATAGAAAAGCTTTCACACGAGCTCAGTAACACGTGGAAAAATATATTTCGCAATCCATTCTGAGCGAAAGATGGACAATAATTGAAATTATATATATTTTGATTAAAATGTGTGATACCGATTTATATGATTATTTATTGAAAAACTATATATAATTGAATAATAACTAGGAAATTAAACATTTGTTTACATCTCATATTACGTAATTAAACATAAAATATGAAAGCACAAATATGAACAGGATACAATGCATTCACAAAATATAATGATCGACAATGCGAATGAATCATTGTAATATCGTTAATTGTTTTGTTAGACGCAATCGACATGATGAATAAAACTCGTTCGTATTTTATACGATGGTGGATATTTGGTTTGATGGAGTCGATAAAGGTTTTTATTGGGCAATTTTTATTGACGGAGAATAATTTTTTTGCCAGAAATAAAACAGAAAATGATGCGCTTTTTGAACCTGAAAGCTGAAATGATTTAAATCAATTTAAAATAATTGATTTAACTACAAGAATATTATCCACATATTTCTCATGTAAATTGAACAAAGATGTACGATTTTTTTTTCTTATTTACATTATTTTTTCATTCATCTTTCGTGAATTATCTTTCCATGCAAATGAATCCTCATAGAAATTTTCACATTGACATAATTTGTATTTTTGGAATAAATCTACAGCATGTAATTATCGAGTATTATTACCACAACTTTAGAAATTATTGTAATAATTACAAAAGTGTACATAAGAAAAAAATTGAAAAATAATCAATATTATTAGAGAGGCTATATTTGCTATATTTGCTATATACAGTCTGTTCAATAAGAAAGTGTCTGCCATAATCAAAAAACTATAAACATTTAGACAATTTTTTATTTTTTTTTTGAAGTACACATTATTAGCTATTGCGCAATTACCTATCCCAGTACTTTGTCCAATCACCTCCATTACTGATTATTGCATGACACCTTTTTTCCATACTTTCGACGAGGTTATCTGCATATTTCTTTGGCAAAGATCGCCATATCTTCTTAATTTGAAATGACAGCTGCTCCACCGTGTACACTGGCTTTCCTTTGAGTTTCATCTTCATGTACGACCACACATTTTCAATGGGATTAGCATCTGGGGACATTGCCGGCCATTCCATTCACTAAAAACACTGCCTCGTACCGCTTCAAGAATTTGGCACTCATTGTAAAAATAATAAATTCGCTGACGTAAACTACACAATGTGCTGGTAGGATATATTGCGCAAAAGAGCACGAAATAAAGGTTCAAACGAGTTCAGGAAGATATCGCTACGGTCGCTCTTTGTAGAATAATGAGCATCACGTTCTTATTGAACATAATGAGCATCACGTTCTTATTGAACAGACTGTATACAAGATAATTTTTCAGTAATGTGTGAAAAAATGTTTAAAACGTAAAAAACTTGGCAATTACTAGAAAAAAATATAAGTACATAAGATCCACACACACATATAATCATATCGTATTAAGATATTTTAAGCTCTAGCAACATTAAATTTTTGTGTTATAATTTTTTCATTACATTTTTGTATTACAAAGCACTTTATAATATTATTTCTTTTTTAAGAAAAGTAAAAATGCTATCATTTAGAATAGATAAAAAATTAATTGTGTAAAACAAATGTGAAATTTTGTGAAAAATTTCCAACTGAAATCTGTAAATCTGTGGCTCATTAATTAAAGCAACGAATGGTGTGAAATCTAGCCATTATGAAAAACTTTTCGACGTAGGCGCAAGATGGCACATAATTTCGTTGATACTTCTTTTTATTCCTTATTGTTATTCCAAACAAAAGCACAAAAGGAGACTTCTGGAAGAAAGTTCCGAAAACTTTGCAATGAAATCTCCCGTGAAAACTTTAAGATCGCACATACGATGTTACGACATTACTTGCCAACACATTTTCATCTACTGATTGTAAGCAACATGTTCTTGATTTTCATATATGTATTATGTTTTCAAAACGTACAAAACTTCCATATACATTTGTAATAGATCATATTTCTCATATAAATAAAGATAAAGCTTCACAAAC